AAACGTCAGCCTTCCTGCTCCTCTGATGCTGCTTGGCCTGCTGTGTTCATCCAGCTCTACACCTTGTTATCTCAGATTCTCCAGCATCTGCAGTTCCTGCTATCTCTGATGAACAGTGGATGCTGTTTAGATAACGCGAACTTTCTACGGTACAGGTACAGCGATTTTCTGTAGCAATTTCCCTATAACGTGATTTTCTATGGCAATTTTCTACAGCACAAGGTCACACAAGAATGCAACTATCGCGTTATAGGAGAACTACCTGTACCTCGCATTTATCCAAATTAAACTCCATCTGCCACTCCTCAGCCCATTGACCCAATTGATCAAGATCTCTTTGTAATCTTCCATATTCTCATCTAAATCATGTATACATCATGCTGTGTGTTCATACGGTCAGTGATCAGAATCAGGATTCCCTGCTCCGGAACACTCGAGATTATTTCAAATCACTTCTGCTGCTCTGCCTAAATTCAAACATGAAGCTGCGACCATGGATACCCAAGATTTCTGTAGTTCCATATTAGACCGAGTTGTGTCATCAGAAGTGCTTAGAACCTTTTCTTTAAAAAGCAAGTAAAAGACCAGATAGAAAATGATATAAATCAACCTCAACTGGATGGCACTATGCTTTGATTTTTAAAACTGGAAGGTTTTAACAGGAAGGACTGACAGAGACATCTCCAGATGGTCAGTCCTGCATTTTGTAGCTCATGTCTGACTGATCCCATCAAGCCTTGTGATCAGGCTATAACACACAGATGCCTTGACTATTGGTAAAATGCAGTGCTAGTCTGAAATGGACAGCACGGCAGGCTGAAGGACAGCTGGAAGGCAACACAGTAATATTTGGAGCTGTCACCTCACCGGTAATATTTCACAAAGCTCTCTCCTTGTCTTGACACATCTGTAACCAAATGACCCTTTCTCAGCTGTAAACAAAAGCTGGCTTGGTGAGTACTTTTGAGACCAAGAGATCATGTTTCTTGTCAGGCTTTGCAAACATGTCATTGTTCCCCGTGGTTTGAATAATGCCCCTATAATCTCCCCAACTGAGATAAAATAGAACAACACAGCTAAAAGTAGGCCATTCAGCACATAATGACCATTCTATCTCTTCTAGATAGCTATCCGATTAATCCCATACCTTGTTATACTCCATAATTCCAATTCATTCTGCAAGTTGGGGAGGTGATGGCCTTGTAGTGGTATCGCTGGACTGTTAATCCAGAATTCCAGGTAATGTTCTGGGGATCAGAGTTCGAATCCCACCACGGCAGATGGCAGAATTTGAATTCAATACATATCTGGAATTTAGAGTCTAATGATGATCTCAATCGATTGTTGGGGAAAACTCATCTGGTTCACTAATGTTCTTTAGGGAAGGAAACTGCCATCCTTACCTGATCTGGCCTATGCGTAACTCCAGACCCACTGCAATGTGGTTGACTCTTAACTGCCCTCTGGGCAATAAATGAAATGCCCTCAAATGAATGAGTTAAAACAAAATTCCAACTCCCTTTCAAGAAGTGTACTCCAGATCACACAATCATTACTTAAAAATATTTCCTCAAGTCCTCTTTGATTCTTTTGGTAATTATCTTAAACTTGTATCCCAGTCACCAA